TAATTATTAGATTTTAGTAATCACTGTGCTTAAAGTTTAATTTTTTTTAGTTTTCTAAATTTATTTTAATTTTTAAAATGACTTACATTAAAAATCACTTTCAATTAAATACTTCCCTTTAATAATAATAATAATATTTTATTTTAGTAATAACTGTCTTAGTTATATAATATAAATTCTGTAAATGTAAATTAATGTTAATTATTAAGAATTCAAGACATTCAAATTATTATCTCAGTTATATAATATAAATACTGTAAATGTAAATTAATGATAATTATTAAGAATTCAATTTGTAAACCATATACATGTATGATAAATACTTTTTTATAGAATTAGTCATTTATATTCTTATTTTTACCCATTGTGCAATAATTTTAGAAAATAATTTTAGAAAACTAAAATATACCTATTAAAACAATTAAACTTTAAGCACAGTGATTACTAAAATAAAATAATTATTATTATTATTATTAAAGGGAAGTATTTAATTGAAAGTGATTTTTAATGTAAGTCATTTTAAAAATTAAAATAAATTTAGAAAACTAAAAAAAATTAAACTATAAGCACAGTGATTACTAAAATCTACAATGAATGAATTAAAGGCGTATAATAGGAGCTGTCTCTTATAAGTTTTATTTTTTCCTTTGAACTGAGATCAATATGTGATTTTTTTTATTTCTTTAAAAGCATTTGTTTTTTAACAATTACAGCAGATGCAAATAATGTTCTGAGAGATAATTGAAAAACAATGGCCACTGAATAACATTTTTTGATAATAGAAATAAAAGTTTTAAAAACGTTATTTCACTAACAAAGTAGAGGAATGATATACAGTATACAGTACTTTAACTACCAAAATATGCAACTCATAACTTAACCACAAACTTCACTTTTGTTAAATATCAAATGAATTAACTTTACATGTTATAAACAATGCAAATAAACAGTAGTTAAAGCATGTGGATCAATTGTGTGTTACAGAATTTGATTATTGGGGAGATTCCTTTTAAAAACTAAATTAGTTAAGATAAAAAAATGCATATAATGACTCCAGAAAATCAGTTTTAATTCAGAATTTGATTATTAGGGCCATTTTTACCTACCTGTCATATGGGGCCATTTTTACCGGGGCAATTTTTTCCGGGGCCATTATTTCCGGGGCCATTTTTTCCGGGGCCATTTTTTTCGGGGCCATTCTTACCGTACACCTATTGCAGTACAGGATGTTGTAAACTTGTTTTATTGTTGAGGTGTGTAAGGGGATAGAAGATCAATATGTGTGGAACAGTTCCACCGTTCCGCAACCTATGGGTTGCTACCCGATGTTTGGGCACCGGGGAAATTTTGATGAGGTGCATTATTTCCTCAGATCGTTGAAAATTTACTTAATATGAATGAAGAAAAACAAAATTAAAATTACACTAAACAAATGTGCATAAAAATTGTGGCATATGCATTAGTTTACTTTTGTTATATGTGCATAGTCAATAGTTTCATGTACAATATTATACTATCAAAACATTTGTACTTATTTACAAATATGACAACTTGAAAGTTTTGCTTCTTTCAATTACCCATATACAGTGGTGTACGGTAAGAATGGCCCCGGAAAAAATGGCCCCGGAAAAAATGGCCCTGGAAAAAATGGCCCCGGAAAAAATGGCCCCGGTAAAAATGGCCCCATATGACATGTAGGTCAAAATGGCCCCAATAATCAAATTCTGTATTAAAACTGATTTTCTTGAGTCAATATATGCATTTTTGTATCTTAAATAATTTAGTTTTTAAAATGAATCTAACATCAAACAAATTGCCATTTACAATTTACTTTTTGCAAGAATTAATATTCAATAATAAAATATTCAAAGATAAATAAAAAGCCATGAATTACACTTTTTATTTATCTTTTTATTTTTTTTTTCCATTTAAATGTTAAAAAATAGAACAACAAAATCAATAAATCAACATAAATCATACATTTATTAATACTAAAATAATTTACTTGTGGCCGATTTCACGGTAGAGGAATCACAATTTTCCAGAAATTTAATCTGTGTATTGGTAAACCTCACAAACAGTCGGTTAGTATGAACATAAAATTATTATTATTTTTTTTTTAAGAAAAAGAGAGTTCTACAATCATAATTATATGGTTTAAATGGGGTTTGCAGTGTGTTAGAGGTTTGTGTTGTATTTGCAAGTATTTTTTCATAATAAAATCTAAATTTTAACCAAAAAATAGTTATGAATGTATTTAATTTTCTTATTGATATACCAAGTCAATCAATCACAATTGAATTGTTAGATTTTCTACAGTGTGTTTTGGGAGGTTTGTTGTATTTAATATTTTGTATTCTAGGGCTAGTAACTGTCTCTTATACACATCTAGACCCTCACAATCACACGTCATTTTAATTCTTAGCATAATTGCCATACATAACTATATATAATTCTAAGCCAGTAGTAGGCACTTGGATTTAGTTAGTGATGAGTAAAAACCAAGTATGCAACTAAATTATGCTTAAATAAATGTATTCCTAATTATTCAGTTTACTAAAAGCAATACTTCTTTGAATAAACTCTAAGCAGACAATTTATTGCTAAGTTTGCGAGAAAGTAAGCCTCTCCCTTTTCCCATACATGANNNNCCTTTTCCCATACATGAACTTGTGATTCAAACACACAATTGATCCACATGCTTTAACTACTGTTTATTTGCATTGTTTATAACATGTAAAGTTAATTCATTCATTTGATATTTAACAAAAGTGAAGGGGCCATTCTTACCTACATTCATATACAGTATTTCTGCTGGCAAATTTTTGTAGTAAAATGTCTGTAAATCATTTATTTTTTCTATCTTTAACTTATTGAAAGATTCGATAAATTTTGTGGTTCTGTTATATTTAAGTGTTTCAAATTTATATTTATTTCATCATTAGGATATTTAACTTTATTTTGTGGGTGGTATGAAGAATCTTTTTTGAATAAAGTGGTATCTTCTCTCGGTTGACAAAAGAATCAAGCTGGCATGGTTCTTCTGATCTCCGCTATCACCCACACAAAATATTGGACGTGATTTAGTGACTTAATTTCCTTGGGCCCCATGTGTCGCGTCTGTGTGCTTGACATTTAATTTGGGCTGTGGGCTAAAACATGCCTTGAATGTCAAACAGAGGATTTTTATTGGGATGTGCCTTCTGAGAGTCAGTAGTAGTTGACATTCCTGCAAGCATTAGATTAGTGTAATAGTTATAGAACATCACTTATTGAATTAAAGTATTATTGCATGAATCTGAATTTTCTATAAATTTTTAAAATTTATTTTAATCTGAATTTTATTTTTAACTGAGAAAGGTCCACTGATTGATCTCAGATAAGATAGTATAATACATATCCCAAGTGTCGAAATGTACGCCATCGTGTCGGGATTCAATATTTCAACAATAATTATGTCATCATCAGGAATCTCATCTAAAAATTCAAAACTATTTCAAATATGTACTACATTATATAGTAATACCAAATAAAGCTATACCAACATTACATACTATTACATACAATTTTTATTAAAATCTTTGCTATACTAGAGGTTGATGCCGCTACTGAAATAGACAATAGGTTTGTCATTATCTAGTTTTGGAAAGTGTATGGATTCAAGCTATAAATGATGTTCATTCTCCCTTTGTTGCAAACATGAGGCAATCCTTCATTTATAATTCAATTTACATTTACCTACTGTAAACAGGTGGTTGATTGGATTATTGGACCAGGTGAGAAGTTGCTAGCTTCACAAACGTCCATTGGTGACAATCTTCAGTCAGCTGACCAGCTTAGAAGAGACCATGAAAAAATGGAGTTAAAATGTACTGTACGTATCTTATTGGAGTATTTTATAAATAAGCAGATTTAATCATTTTTTACACAAAACTATTCTCCCTTAAGATATCCAATTTATAACATACCACAAATCAATCATCTCCTACCCTTTTTTGGAAGGAACTGGCCACCCTACCACACAGTACCGAGGCTTAGTACAATGGGCTCACAGCTCATTCCCCTACGTTCAGTAATGAATACGGGACTACCTTTACCTTTACCCTTTTTTGACTACTGCAATGTAGTTTGAGGTCATACACAGTATCTTACATGGATGAAATAAACTTAACCAAAGTAACCTCTGACAAAAACAAACTATTAGCTAAAGAGAAGCAATGCCATCACAAAATACATGTAAGGTTTGGTGTGGGTCCATGTTGCTTAATTGTTGGTAACCTACATCCCTGTAATACCATAGAGCAAAGAAACAGGTTTTGCTCTATGATAATACTGAGCTAAAAGCTACAGCTTATAAATCACTACTAAGACCGCACTTAGAGTATAGTTGCACCGTATGGGACCCTTCAAGTAATGACCCCACCCAAATGCTGGAATCTGTGCGATGTAGAGCTGCCAGGTTTGTCTGTAGAAACTATGATAGAACATGTAGTGTCACTAAAATGTTGCAACACCTACAGTGGGACACTCTTCAAGTGTTTTTTACGGTCAGTCGACAAGTATTTTTAGGGACCACTTATCTGTGGACAAGCACGCACTTTTAGAATAGGCTACTTCACGATGTAATGCGTAATGATTTCACAGTACTTATAAAAAGTCTGACTCTTGGCAATACACAGCATATTTTATTAACAAATTGTCAGCGCACAAAGAGATATCAAACAGAGAAACTGGCTGTGCCATGGTACGCCCCTCACATTGTGCATCCACTTAGAGTCGCCAACACTAGCGTGATTTATTGACGGTTAAAAGAAAAAATGTAGACCTACTCAATTTAAAATTTATTTTCTTCAGTAAAGATTGAAAATTAATTTTAAATTGTTAAATTTTAGCCAGATCTGTCATATGAGTACACATTACACCTACGACAGGTAGATATTTTCGCACGATATCGTACTTGTTAGCCGTCAACCGTCTGAGCCTGCTGCACGTGGTCTGTTTACAATATAAATTCGCACTGGTCTAGTCTATAAATACCAGACTTATTTAAAGACTTTGGGCGCACAACCATTAGTTGATTAGTTGAGTTAGACGACATGAAATGTCTGGACTTCAAGACTAGTAATTACTTTTGAGTGCGAATACGAACAGCAGCCATTAGGCCGACTTTAAAAAAGGCCTAGTTTATATCATTTGCGCGTGTGGGGAAGGCAATCTAGACCATGTCCAGACAGACTAAGAAAGGGTAGTTAAATTGTTATTTAAGTTGCTAAAGTAATTAAAAAATCATTCACTTCTGAGGGATGGAGATAACGTGCATATAAAATCCATATCTTGTAAAACTGGAGTTAAAAATTGAGGGTTTAGGGCCTATAACTGAATCATTTTCCCGTCTCAAAAGTTTTGCCGTCTCAGAGATTCTCTAGAAGGGATTTGTCCCTTCGGCACTTGCACAGAGTTTATAGGCCTACAGTGCTTATTTTTCTTTGAGAGGTAAGCAATTTTATGTATTTTGCAATAAATGAAATGACGATGTGTCAGGCTGTGAAATATTCCCCGCATAAAATATTAGGCCCAGAAATCCATCGCCGCATTTCGAAAATATGAGCTGATTTCCATGGATATTTTGCAGAAAATTGAGGCCTTGATAGTAGGAATACAAGTATTTACGATTCTGCGCATCTATTTTTCTAGAGGTTTTCCCGTGCAATTTGAATTAGTTTTTTTTGTATCCTCTGCAAAAAAACAAAAATACTTTGAGTTAGTATTACAATTGATTAAGATCTGCAAACGGGTACAAACATATGATACTGTATGTCCACGCCCACCCCTCCCAAATAACGTCATGAAACACAGCCCTGTCAGCGTGTGGCTAAGAATTTATGTATTGTGGGAATCAACCAGGCCTGAGAAATTTTTACTTGCAGTTGTGACGACGGCTTTTAAACATGCAATAAAGAAAATGATCAACACACTCATACATAGAATATTATTAATAATGTTTATTTTATTTGAATCTATCCATATTATACATTATTGAAATTCTTGCAAATTAAAAAAAGTAAGAAAACATTTTTGCATGATCAATGCAGTATGCACGTAGGCCTATTAATGTTGTAGGGCCATAGCAAAAATACTTTACTTTTGTGTTATTTTTTATGATTATTGTGCAGTAATATTGCGACAAATAAAATTGTCTTCAGGACAAGTGCATCTTTTAAAAATACTTGTCCAGGGACAAGTGAAAAAATATGAAATTCCCTCATGCCTGAACATACTCTAATTTGTAAATTGAATATTAAGAAATCATGTATATACTTATTGATGTTGTCTAATGCATACATATTCATATTTTCCAATTAAAATGTAATGAGACTGCCTTGGTATATGGAGCATTCTTATATGGTACATGGAAATGATGATTCTATTATTTGAGGGGTGTTCTGATTTGCAAGAACATTGGCAATTGCTGGTTCATCTTGGTATTAAGTATATCACTCATTCATAGACTACTAACATGACACCTGATTTTATGTAACTGAACACTTTTTTCTCTAACCATAGGAAACGTATGCAACCTATGCTGAGCTACGTTATGTTGCTAATAGTATGATAAAATATGGCGGACTGTCGTCGGAAAGTGTTGCAGCTCAAAAAGACAATATGGACACTGTTTGCAGGAACTTTGCCAGTCGACTTGAAAAACGAAGAAATCTGCTTATCTGTTCTGTGTGTTTTCACCGTGCCTTAGAAAATGTAGGTGACGCTTCTCATGAAACAAAAGTACAATTTTCCAATTAAAGGATAGAACTATGTAATGTTCTACAAGCTTGAAAGCTCTACTAGTAAAGTTTTTTTTATTTGACATTCTTATTAACAAACAGTATTGCCATTAAGTGTACTTAATATTGATAAGTATACATTATTAAACAACTTTTATAATAAACCTCTTTTGAATCTGAATTTGTCAACTCTTCAATGAATTTTGAAGTGGCTAAACTTGTATTTATCAAGTTAAAGGTCCTTCTCATCTTTGTATCTGATCTTAAGGCTCAAATGCTTTTATAATTTCAGAGTACCCATAGTCTTGAGGATTTAATTGAGACGTTTCGAGGAGACGTATCAGCAGATACCACTGATATGGTGAAACAAGTTCTTACAAATATTGATGAAAACTGCCATGCTGTTGGTAAGTTACTCATGTTATTTGTCATGTTGTAAACATTGACTGAAGTTTCCATTTTCAACAACAATATGTATTATTTGGCAATTTGGCAAGTATAATTTTGAATTTGTAAGACTATTTTTCAAACTCAACTCAATTGACATCAACTGACCTTTGGAAAATTGCCAGCAACTGTGAGCATGTGGTGAGCAACTGTGAGTCGTGCGATTTAAGTTGACATGAGAGAATGCTCCAATTGCCAGTTCTCTGTTGCTTGCAGTTGCCCATGCTCTATTTACCTGCATCTGACAAGCAGTTGAATGGTCATGGTCATGTGACATAGTAACACAGTAATTCCTGTCTCTTATACACATCTAGATGTGTATAAGAGACAGGGCCTACAGTGCTTATTTTTCTTTGAGAGGTAAGACCTTGTTTTTGCAAAATAAATTGATGCAATTTGCTATTATAGGCCTAATCAATAAATTCCTCATCAACCGATATAACCCTAAACATTCTTGGAATTGACATAACATTACTGATGTCGTACACACCCTTCAGTGTGAAATGTGGCTCTCTTTGCAAGCACATCTAACATCTAAGGAAAGAAGAGAGATTGTTACCAGACAAAATAATTTTGTTATCAACATTAATACATTATGCTAATTTTCATCTTTGTAAGCGCATAAGACAGTGCAATTTATTTCTGTGACAGTCTTTTGAAGTGTGTAAAGCTCCATATTATCCCATACATAGTCAAAATATTGGGGGGGATGATACAATGGATCATCCCCCACTTGTCAAATATTGGGGGATATATCCCCCATCTCCCCGGGATCTACGCCTATGAGTAATTCTAGTCTATTAACTGTGTGGGTAGCATGTACTAAAAGTGTATCAAATTACATCGTTGCATGGCAACTAGTTGTATTTTATAGTAAAAATCAACAAAAGCGCTACCGACAACTAGTTGATGTCAGAGTTGAGTTGAGTCACAAGGGCGGCATAAGCTTGGCTTTATATTTTCCCATTGATCAAAACAATCATTCAGAATCAGTGAGGACCTGATGAATTTGTACTTAGATTTGTTCTCAATGGAATGGTTTATATTTTCAGAATATTATTTGTTTCATTTTTTAAAGCAGGAACCTAATATTCTGTTTAATAATGATTAGTTGTAAAATTATTTATTGTTATACTATTTTTATTGTCTCCGTGGCCTACATGTTTTCCATAAACATTTGCTTAATGAGAACATGTGATCATTCGGTGAAAGTTTGATTAGCAAGGAATAATAAAAATATATTTCATCTTATAAATACAGATTGATCTTTACAGTGAGGTTTGATCATATAGTCCAAAAATATATCGGATTTATGTTTTTATTACATATACTACTATATATAACATTTATTTGTGTGTTTTGAATATTTGAGGCAAGTTGTGGCAAATTGGCTAAGTTTTAGAAAATATTGAAATTCAAGTAAGTATTTCCCGATACATGAGTATGTAATCTTTAAAAATAGAGGCCATTCATTTTAAATTAGATATTTTAAGGCTTAGTTGTTGGGGAGTGAAAGTACATTTTCAATAATAAAATAATAATTTAAAAAAACATGTTTACCTTTGTTGTTTATGATTCCTGTTTGTTCTCTACCTGTTGTTTGACACTGCGCCTTGAGCACCAATTTTGGTGGTGATGTTTGCGCTTTAAAAATCGTTATTAATATTATTATTATTATTACAGCACTCTTGTATTAAGTTATTTGTGCATACATTGTTTAATGGAATTAACTACCAAAATAATGTGGTTTATTCACGATTTCCAGAACTAACGCCCGTATTCTTAAAACAAACTTTAGTCAAACTTCGAACTAGAACTTCATTTAGTCCTAGATCCAACTTCAACTTAAACTTGTATTCATAACAACGTAGTCGAAGTTCTATGACAAGTTTTAGTTTGGCTGAAGACAGCTGGCAAGCAACGCCTATCAAACTAACCAATAAAAAGGGCTAATTTTAAAAATAATAATAATAATATGTCGTTCTTATATAGCGCTTCATGCCTTTACAAGGCCTCTAAGCGCTTCACATTACTACCCTGGTCATTGGATCAAACACATATGGAACACATTGAAACACCAAATTAAATTAGTAAATGAAATTTTATTATCATTCCATAAATTGCAGCTAGTAATCAGCGCAGGTTGTGTTGGAACCTACCAGGTACCCACTTGTACTCCTGGATGGAGAGAGGCAACCGTAGATAAAGTGCCTCGCCCAAGGACACAAGCGATTTGCACAGCCAGAGTTTCGAACCCCGACCTCAAGGTTGGGAGTCCAAGCCACAACCGGTGCGCCAACCGCTCCTACAATAGCAGACAAATTTTAGAGATCTGGTAATGCGGATAAATATTGAGCTGCCGCCTGGCGTCAAAAACATATTTCTTCATAATTCATAATAGACCATCATTCTCTTAATTAATTTTCTATAATAATAACTATATTAATCGTTAATATGTAACGATCTTTGGAGAACTGATGAGCACGAGCGAGGGCGGCGCCATCTTTGTAGTTGTTACGGTGAAGCTATGCGACTGCAACGTGAGGGGATTTTGTGCAAATCAGGAACTATCGCATGTGCTTAGTAAAACAGGTTAATTTCACGTTTGAAAGCTAAACTTAGTGTATTTTTTCTTGAATACACCAAAGATACATCAGACTCCTTATACAATCATTTTTATTCTATTATTGTGAGTTACAAAAAAACATGTTTTTAGTGGGGTAAATATTTCAAGTCGGCGATTTAGCCTGACCCTAGGCTGACTAAAAAAAATTGGCCTGCGAAGGTATCATTTTAGTCGAGGTTCGAGTCATATAGTCATAGTGCTAGTTGAAGTTCGTTTTAAAAATACAAAATGACGTAATTTGCGTCTAAAGTTCATTTTAAGAATACTGGGGTTAAACTTTGGGACATGATTATTGGATATTAAACTGTTGATGCTATCTTTTTTAATTTGTAATTAAAAACAACTGTTTATATATTTAAAAAAAAAATTTCTATCATATCTAACAGCAAGTACACTCGCCACTGGATGGAATGATGCTTTAGTTTCTTTATGGGGCTTAGGGAGTGAAGTTATTGTAAAGTTTTGAGAAGATTGGCAGGTTAACCACCAAGCTACATCGTCATTATGATTAAAATTTGATTTATCTAGTATAAATTTTATAGTATATACTTCTTTCTTCTTCAGCATTGTCCATTGAACAGACTGAGAGGGAGGGGGACAGGTTACTAGATTTGCTGAGTAGTCCCATACGGAATGCATTTGGTAAGGACATCACACCGAATTGTGAGAATCAGAAAAGTCATGTGACTACTTCTATCCATGAAATAAACAAACAGAAAAAACAAGTCAATGAGTTGGCAGATTTATGGAAACTGAAGTTACAACAAATTTTACAGCTCCGAACTTGTGAAGAAGATGCAGTTCAGGTAAACCCCAGAATGCTCTCTTTGCTTCATTTCCTATGTTTCACCTCAGTATAATGCTGAGAGGACAGTGTGCTTACATGCAACCACTGTCTTGCATATCTCGTGTAATTCACTTTTTTTTTTTTTCAAAAAACAATTTTTATATAATTATAGAAATGATTTCGTATACTCTGAATATACGAATATTGTGCACTCTCATGACATAGATATTCTTAATTTGAAATGTCATGAGTCGCAAGTGCATCGCTCCATTTCCATTAGCAACCGACCATTGTATTGTATAGGATTCAAATGAGTCCTAGATGAGTTCTTTATATTTTTATTATCCTTGTATTCGTATAAAATAATATCAAATGGCTGAGGTAGACAAAGAAGAATAGGAAAGTCATAATTGTCAGTCTTTAGTTGCATTTGTTGATAACATTATATAAAGTATAAGGGACAGCTGTGGTCAAGTTGAAAGAGAGCTAAATTAAATTTCCGCTTGTCATTAGATATCAAAGATCTACCATAATTGTAAATTTGTATATGAACAACAATTTTGGTTCACTTTTACTAAGTATTATAATTGCAATACTCTATATCTCAAAATGATACTACCTGAAGGTATAGTTCCTGAGCAAGTGGTTATTATGCATGAAATGTTATTCTTAATTTCTTATAGGGAATAGTATGGCTAGAAGAGTTGTGTGATGTTGTGACAAGGTCCCATGCAGATATTGGAAGTACGGCCATTGAGGCAGAACAGCGAAAAAAAGATCATTCTAACTTAGAAATAACGGCAGAGGTAAATCTAATGTACATGAGCTTCACAATGAGTAATGTCATTATTATTATTATTATTATTATTATTATTATTATTGGGTCTTAGAGACCTTGTTGTTAATTCTCACCTTATATATCAATCAATTATTATTATAATAGGCCCTACAATATGGATTTTTTCAAAACAAACATTACAAGTTCTCTTTTTGATTTGAGCAACCAGTGTGTACTATATTGATTGACGTCTAAAGCGAGTCTGTAAAGTTGCCTTGAAACATATCCTTGAGCATGAAGAAAGCAATGGAATCGCTCACTCTCACCTTGCGCAAGTTCTGTATTTAGGCACAGGGCAGAGGTATAGCACATGGTGCAACACTTTAGTTCTGTTTATGTTAACGATGAAGATGTAAGTGTAACTGGTTGGCTTACAGTAAACCATAAAACTGATGTAATATAACCACATTTAAATTCAATCTAATTTAATGAAAACAATAAGGTACTTAATTAGGCCATTTATTTAAATAAAGTCCTTTGAATGTTAACCACATAATTTATGGTATTGTACATTGTAATTAGTGTATTATAGGTTGTAAAAACTGTAGTAAAAACCTTTTCGCTTGACATTACGAATTAGTCATTTGTGAAACAAAATGATAGGCTAGGTCAAATGTTATACTATACAGTGGCAGAGCCGGCCATCTAGCGGTGCCATAATCATAATTTTTTTCTTACCTTAACCCCAACCATGGTGGGGCTGAGGCGGATAGACACTCTATCTGTGCAAGTCCCTCTCTGGACCCCCTCTATTTCGACTTCCTGGACCCAGCTGTTGAAGTACCATTCCCAGGCTTCTAGAAGCGTAATATTTATCCGTCGGGGGAAAAGAGAAGTTTTCATTGGGAAATACCATATCGATAATATCCCTCTCATGATGAATAATTCATTGTGATCGTGGAAACAATCTTGACTTCGACCTTGAAAATACAACAATTATGTTATGACAGTAGCTTGATGCCTAAAAAATAACTAATACAATCCACCAAAATTCATCAAATATCCATAGCTTCCAGCGGGCACACCCTGGACCTCAACCAGGGGCCCTTGGCAACCCCTACCCCTAGCCCCCTCACTTTGCTTTCATACCAAGTTGATTACCTTATGAAATGCCCCCCCCACACTTTCAAAAACGTTCCGCTGCCGTTGACTTAAAAGTGAACACAAAATATTTACCCAACTATAGCAATATACACTACATATTATTAAGACAAATGCTTTTTATGTATTAATTGTGTAATTGTATTTTTATTCAAACTTCTTTTAATGGTTTTCAACACATTACTGTCATCTACAAGTTATAGGATGTAACCAGGGAGTTGTTGTCACAATTAACAACTTCCTCATGTAACGTAGGCGCCGCAACAATTATGATTGTGGACAACAGATGTCTTGTTTGTTTGTATTTCTGTATGTTGGCATTCTATAAACTAAAGATCAACAAGCACTTGCCTGCCAGTGTAGGCAAGATTTATAACATCAAAAACAAATGTTTTGTTCTCACTTGTCTTCCTGCATAACGTATTTACAAAATATCTTACACATGGGACAGAGTCATACAGTACCCTGTGCTAGCTATGTTAAATGAATAATTCAGATGATGAACACAACAGTAATTGAATTCAAGAAAGTTACATTTTGTCTGCATCAATTTTTATTCTTCTTCAGAGAACCTATAATTATAGTAAGCAGTTATTGAATGCTGGTCTGATGATAAGACGGTCCCTGGGGTATGACACTGTTCCCAATGATTCCTTTGTTCAGAGGCTTCATCTTGCTTGGAAAAGCTTTGTAAAAGAAAGTGAGGAGAAGGCCTCAAGACTCTCTGTGTCACTTATGTTTAATAACAATGCAGAAAGAGTATGTATTTTTCAACTAAGCTTATTTTTGACCATTTATAAACTATTACATTTAACCATTTTTAATGTGAGTGAAAAATCTTTCAAGGTAGCTTGGTAAAAATTGTAGTTTTAACCAACCTTAGCAAATGCATAAGTCAGAAATGTCTATAATTCCGATAAAAGTGGTCTTGGTGATAATCTAAGCCTAGAAATATATTTTTATAAATATTTTATTGTGATTTTATTTTTCTATGCGACTATCAATGTGTCATAATTGTCTATGCTGTTTTTTATTATGTCTTCTAGTTGGGTCGTGAGATTGATGATTTTTCTGCAGTTGTGAGAGATGGTTTTAATGATGACAACTTTTCAGAGAGGAATTTGCATTATTATAGAACCAAGCAAGATTCTATACACAAGAAATATGTAGACACAGTTGCAATGGGTGAAGCATTGCTGGATAGGTTGGCAGTGCCTTCATCCTCACCTTACAGGTAAACAGTTCAAGTTAATGAGAATATTTTTGAGAATTTGTTTACTGATCAACAATTACCAGTTTATAAAACAAAAAACATTATTCCCATAATGTAATTAAAATGATTATATCATTTTAAGAGTATTTTTTTCTGTGTTTTTTGTTATTTGTAAGTTTTTTAATCTGATTCTGTTAAGAAAGACCCATTGTAAACACAAAATGAACTGACCATTGTAAATGTAAAGGAATCTTTTTTAAGTTAGGTTTGCTTGTGACTTTGAATAGATTTTTATGTTTCTGTTTTATGATAAGTTATATCATATTATTTCTATGTCAATGTAATGCAATAATTATGATCTTTTAAATGAACTATCCTAGATTTCTGCTTATATCAATTTTCGAGCAAGTATACAGCAAGTATAAAGCATCCAATGCTACATCCAATGCTAGGTCCAATTTCCATTTTGTTTTAGGACCTCGTTCCTCATAGAAATCTGGTTTTATATACGCACTATACGTTTTCTTGTTAATAAGGACAAAATGTAAAATTTAATCACTCTATTAATTATTTTGAGCCAAGCTCAAATATAGTGAGAAAAAATTATTATCTTGCCATCTTCTCAAAATCATCACCTTTGAACTATACTATAACTTGTAATAAATGCCACTTTCAACTAGAAAAATGTCAAATACTGTAGTTTACAGAATGGTATACAGTTACTTTAAAGATATTAGAGAATAGCACATCCTTTTTAGGTGACAGTGGCCTTGCCCCTTTTGCTGTTCCTTGGCACTGATTTCGGTTTTCTTGTGAGTTTTGCCATGTTATTTTTCCTTGAAATTTGTTCTGTGTTTTTGTTTGCTCTTTTGTAAAGTATTTTTGTATTTTCTCTCCAAAAGGAATGAAATAAAAAATAAATAAAATATGTGATTACATAGCTTGTTAATAGTTGATATATATGCTTTATTTTTGCTAGATTGGTAGAATCACATGAAACAAACCAGAATCTTGGTCATGACAATGCTATAATCAATCAAAAACTAGTGGAACTGAAAATTACAAAATTAGAGATGGATTTATTATTGGCAGGACCAGAAGAAGAGGATGAAATTCTAAAGAAAATTAAAGAGTAAGTAGTTGAAAACACTTACAAATGTTTGCTCTTACTATTTCTTTGTTAATCTGTCTTAATTAAATGCCCATACAAAAAATTTATTAAAATAAATTTATGTTTTGAAATATGTCAACCCTTTATTTGTTGTTTGTCCCCAACACACACTATTCTTCATATTAATATGTGGAACATCTGTAACACACTATGACTACTGTATGTGCTACAAGATGAGTTTTAATAATATTGATTTGAACTGAGTTGAAGGATCGATATTTTTTTTTGTCTTAAGTCTATCTACACACCAAGTACCAGGACCAAACATGGGTTCATCTTCTTCCATTCTGGATTCTAATCTTGGGCATGTTAGACCAACCTTATGGAAAGACGCTCAGCAAACAGTTTCTCCATACCCTGCAGATAAATTTGAAGAATACGATCAGTTTAATCGAACAGATATCCCTGTAGAAGAACCTGTAATTGCTAAAACCACTGCAGAGGCACAAAACACAGCAGCTGTGCCTAGAGATTTTAGACCTGTTGACAGTTCAAACCATGAACATGAGGCAATGAGGACACTGAAAAATTTTGAAGCTCAAATAGATGAGGTAAGGCTCAGTTCAGTCTTTATTATTTAGATGCTTCATGAAGCTTGGGTAGTGGTTACTTGGAATGGGAGTTGCTAAAAAAAGGGAAAAAGAAATCGCTACACTGTCGCTACAGTGTCTTCAGTGTAGTCGTACTGCGTAGCAGTCCCCGATGCAATTGGAAGGCTCCCTGATTCGACCGACCAATCAGCGTCTCTGAAAGCTGTCGGCAATAGCGTGTAGCAATTATATGGAATGAGATGGTGTTAGACAATAATGTCTGCTTAATTATTGTATTACTTATCAAGGTTTGAAGGATAATAAATAAATTAAATGCATATCATCACTTTACAAACTAACAAATTTAAGTAACCACAATGTGCGAATCCCCCATTCATGCTAAGAGTGTTAATTTGCATTCAATTTGCTGGATATTGATACAAATTTGTTTATTTTGAATTGTTTTTCCCAGCATTATGTAAACGTTAATTAATTGTTTTAGCAGTATTTACAATGAATTTGTTTAAATATAGATGAACCAATTTCTAAGAAGTAATTATTATTAACATAGTCGCAGATCTGTTATTTTGATGTAGTTGTTCATTCCCAACTCCATTGAATGTTTTGGATGTTTTTTTAAAACCTACATATTTTAAGATAGAATTTATGAATGGCCATGTCTTTTCAATATTATTTTTGAATGTATAAATTTTGGATATGAATTTCTGTAATTTCTTGATGGAATTTATTGTTATTGAATACATTTCTATATTTGTTGTACATTATTTTATATTTTGAGATTTGTTAAATTTTTTGATAGTGTTTTACTACTAACTCTGGAGACAATGTGGCTGTTTATTCTTCCTGATTTCTTTTTTCTTGTGGAAATTTTTTCACACATGCCCAAAATTATCAATCAATTTGTACATGAGATAATGAATACCCAGAAAGTGAAGGTTTTTACTTTATAACTAATTTTAAAGTTTCTAAAGTTTAGTAGATAAATATACTTATATTCAACTGTGAAATAATCTCCCATGAAATAGTAGAATATTCCATCTCTGATAACTTCAACTCATGAATATTTATGAGCTCTCAGATGTCAGTTATCCTAATACAGTCAGGCAGATCAGTTCATCAGCCTCAGAGTTGCCCATGGTAGAGGCAGCTTACACACATATCCTCTGTGTGTCAGTGATGTATATGTATGTGTTTGCATGTGTGTATTTGTCACATATAAACCTGGCATTTTAACTTTCTTGGAGATACATAATATTCGGGAAGAGTTGCGAGTAGGGAAAAGATGGCCGAGTCATCTGGGGGAGTGACTGCCATCAGCACAGTAGCAGTGCAGTCTGGAGAGGCTCGTATCATCCTAGCTGTTCTTAGAGTAAGTCCTCATACATAGTCATCAGCAGAATTAGTTCTACTAGGTCATGTTACAAGTTGATGAGACTGGTATTTAAAGAATGCAGGAGATAAAAAGTTGTGCGTTTAAAATTTTGTTTTAAGAGAAGATTCATGCACACTTATTATTTGACTGGGCTGAAACTACAAAACTGTTTTAATTTCACTATATCCTTTAATGTGTGGAAAAAAAATATCATTATTTTATATTATCATACTATTCATGTTTTTTTAAATCTTTAAATATGAGATTTTAAGAACTTGTCATGGCATTCCATCATCAGTCTGATTCCGGTTTTTTATTTTTTTTTTTATCATATTTTTTTATTATCACCATCAACACTTTTTGTTGGATTTTTAATTTTGTTTATATATTTTTTTCAGATATATTTTTTTTGTCTTGTTGATTTTTTTTCCTTTTGTGTAATAGGCTTCTATTTTTGTATTGAACCCTTTGTCAATGTTAACTTAGCTGATGTAATAAAAAACAGTTAAATGGAATTGAATAGGCCTGTACATCATCCTCATCAATACATCATAATTACAGTTACTGTATCCATTAACAGTTTCATTAATCCTACAAGGGAGATAGTAATATGAAAACCTTATACTAATTTATTTTCGAACCATCAAATGAATGATTTTTAAAGTGCATGAGCACTGTTATTCTTGGTGTGACAGATTGCCACTTAATTTTAGTTGGCATGGGGTATGAAATATAATGCTTTTCAAAGCTGATGTTGTACAGTAGTATAGTATACTGTACTCAGTGTCTTTACTAAAATGGATGGCGTACCAATGAACTCCAACTTGAACCAAGAAATAAGTCATAGCACATAGACTGTAGGTGCGTCAATCATTGACTCAAATTTCTTGTTTGGTTTGGTGCTTGAAAAAATGGCTATTGCTTTAGCAATACTACATCATTGTACACATCCAACAGTACAGGACTGTATACCATGTTCCTTTTTTACCTTTATTTTTAGTGTTCAAATTTAATTAAATATTTCTTGCATTTCTATTTCTAAATTTCTATTATAAATCTAACTGTTCCCCAACATGGCTCAATTATGCTTGATAAACTAAGAGTGGAGTTGTTTGAGTAGTGAGAAAAATCTTTCTGTCATAGGAATTGAACCCAGGACCCTGAGATTGGAAGGCAAGAATCTTAACACCAAACCAGGAATTGAACCCAGGACCCTGAGATTAAAGCAAGCATCTTAACCACCAAGCCATTTAACTCTCCTGCAAATCAAGGCTTTAAATTCCTTTTAAAATGGTCATTAGAAAATTCAATTAAAGTTACGTGAGGAAAAAAAAATCCCGTCAATTAAAGGACTTGGCAATACTGTACTTTTCTTTTGCATAGTCCCTTAAATTTGGTGGTAATCAACTTTTCTTTTCTATTTATAAACTCAATGGCTTCTTTTTTTAATTTATTTTTTAATTTTTTAATAGGACTAATATTTGTTTCACATTTGTCTATCTAGTGTTTATTACATACAGAGAGCTTATGTTCAAGCTGATGGTGAGAGTTGAATTATGGGTACAGTAGGTTGCTATATATATGGTAGTGGCAGTTTGGCGCAGTGGTTTAGGTTTGGGCTTTCAATAGTAAGGTCAGGGATTCGAGTCTCCGCTGTGCAGATTCGCTTGTGTACTTGGGCAAGGCACTTTAGCTACATTGCTTCAGTCCACCGAGCTGTATCAATGGGTACCAGCAAACTGCTGGGGACTAACCTGCGATGGACTAGTGTCCCGTCCAGGGGAGTACAACTCTCATCCGCTTCACACTACAGAAACTGGGGGATAAGCTCCAGCCCTATGAGCCCCAGTGGCTTGGAAAGGATTAGGTTGCTATAAATTGGTTGTACAGACAACTATGGAAACAGTTTTATACATCATGTCCCAATACATTTGTATTTTTGTTTATTTAATATTAAATATTATCAACTTCAAGCTGTGTGCACGTAGCCTTGGAATACAATTGACAAAGATTGGTTTTCAGATTTTTATTAGTGATTTGAGGTTTAAATTTGTAGAAATTGATAGGCACACTTCAGCAATTAAACCATGCTGTGAAACTGATGGTTATTTATAGAAATGGCCTAGTTGGGTTTTATGACCTTGTTATAAGAGCAGTTAGCAGCTACTGGTATTAGCTTGTGCAGTATTTTTGCAAAATGGCTTGACGTCACAGCATTCTTTATTAGTGAGCACATTTATTATGATGATCTATCCCATACCTTGGTATTCACACAGATTTCTAAATTAGTTAATTTGTTGTATGTGCTGTTGATGGTGTTGATGATGATGAGGCTGTAATTGATATATTAAAACCAAATTTTTTCCATGTTTTTTTTTTGAGTTTCCAAATTTGCATCCAATGTAATACTGCATAGTGCTATATGGCAGAACTTTACTATGATTAGGCCCTATAAAAAAATTATTAGTTTATCACCCTATCTGGGCAGGAAAAGTGATGAGGGAGGGAGGCTTTTTTATTTTATTTTTTATCTTGCTAAAGCCAAATATAACCCTTGGTTTGTTTGCTGGTGCATTGATATTCAAAGTAAAACATGATTTAGATAATGCAAACAATATCAACTAACTATTTCATAAAATAAATGAAAAAAATAAATAAATAAATATAAAAAAAAATAAATTTCAAAAAAAAAAATTTTTTTTTTCAAAATGTTTTTTTCCCAGTACCATAGAAGGCATGCACGCGATGGTGATAAACTAATTTTTTTTTTTATTGGGCCTTATAGTAGTAATATGTATGATAGCAATGTAGGCAAAAAACTTTCAATTAATATTGCTATAAGTTTTGTTGCATCTTTTCCCCCATGGTGTGTGGTAAAAATGGCCCTGGAAAAAAATGGCCCCTGAAAATCAGGCCCCGGAAAAATTACCCCGGGAAAAAATGGCCCCTGAAAAAAAGGCCCTCAATGATAAAATATTGTAATAAAACTGATTTTAAAAAAAAATCTTCTAATTATAATGCTGCAAAATAGCAAAAATCAAAAATTCAACATAAATTGATGTTTTAGTAGTTTGAGCTGGGAGTTGTTATTTAGATAAATAACAACTCCCTGGTTTGTGAGTGATTCATATCTTGTTTATTTTGAAATAATGATTTATTTTAGGGAATAGAAATAGAGTATCTTTATTGTTTATTAAAGTTTTAGCAACAAAATTATAAACTAAAGGTATACCTTATTATACATTATTATTATTACAGGTCATTAATTAAAAATAAACTTATTATGTATTATTATTATTATTATTATTACGGTAATTTTTTAAAAATAACTAGCGAACATACCCACTTAATATAAATTAATTTATTTTATAATACCGTAAGTTAAAATATAACTTTAAAGATCTAGTGGTAACATTTTGTTAAAAAAATATGCTACTGTCAAATTATATTTAAAGACTTAGCAATATTCAATATATGCTATTCACAGCATCCGGTGGCCTTTTGCGATGCTGTGAGTAGCATTAAATTGACCATGTTAACCCCAAAAAGTAGATCAATTAAAAAATACATGAAGAAAGAATAAGCTATCACAGCATCACATTAAAATCTAGTTTCAACTGTCTTCTTT